GCAGGAAATGGTTCCGGCAACACTATCGTGATTAGGTCACATTTTCACAGTGGTGTGGAAGAATTGATGCTACTGGCCATAGTAAGGGTTTAAGGTCCTGTGGAACATAAAATAATCCCCAGCAGTGTGAACACTATGCTTAATATATAAGCATGTTATATACCTAATGTTAAGAACATAATGTTGAAACACTAGGAAGCACACGTGTAGATGACACATAGCCTAAGCAGTATAATGTCATAGTGGTGATTTATTAGCCTTTGGCTTTCAAATTCTGGACTTGAATTTCATCTTAGGATCAGAATTTAAATGAAATATTACTTTTTTAGCCAAATTCACTATTGCAATAAACTGAGATAATTCTGATAATTCCTAAGGAAATAGGCCAGCAGTGAATATAATCTTAAGTACTCTTGATTTGAGTAAGGTGACCACCTACCACAGTAATACTGTTAGCTATAGTGGTGGCTTTAAAAGATGCCTGTGGTTCAGAAAAGTCAGAGCATTGCAGGTCAAGGTTCAAAGACACCTGTGAATAAAGAGAAAACTGCAGTTAATCTATTGCCACTGTTTTGTGCTAAACGCAGTATTTTTCACTTGCATTAGCACTAGATTAGTGTTCTGCTTTTCAAATATTACATGGTTTCCTGCATAGGGCAAGAAATATTTCAGAAAAAAAAAAAAAAAAAACCAGTTACATTGTGTGGTTTTGGAGGAAGAACAAATTACTACAATGAAAGAAAATCCATTTACCTCAAAAATAGATTTAAAAATATTTTTGGTAAAGTAGCTGTGCAGAGTAGAAAAATCTGCATCTCAGACAATTGTATTTCAGTGACTGCAACCAGGCAAAAAGAAAATAATTCCTTCTAACAGAAAATCCCTTCATCTCTAATAAGGGAATATCCTTGAGGGAAAAATGCACTGTATGTGCTAACTTCCCATCCGGCCACAGGACACTAATACTGATCAATATTTAGGTAAACTTAGGACTAGTTCTTCCAGTCTTTAGATCTTTGCTTTTTCTCCAGAAAGCAACACAGTGGGCACAGAAACTAAAAGTTGCATAACAAGAGGTGCTACCATTTTTCTGCTGTTGACTGTGATCTGGGAAAGGGAATGTCTATGTGAAAGAGGTAGTGAGGATTATAAGCACTATTATTGTATTTAGGGGAAATGTTTAGATTTAGGGCTCCTCTCCACAGCTCTTCCAACACAACATAAAATGGAAACATTTCTGGTTTCAAAGAAATTATACCCCGTCCACAAGACTGTTGACTATCTCATTAGGAACTCTTGAGAAGGAAATACCTTAAAACAGAAACCAGCAACAGGGCAGATACTACCAAGAATGTTTCATGGTCTTTGTCCTTTCTGCATATGACCAGTAAAAAACCCAAACAAAACCACCAAATAAAACCCCCAAAAAACCCCCAAACAAACCAACAAAAAAAAAAACAACCAAAAAAACCCCACAAAACAAACAAAACTCCCCCAAAAAACCCAAACCCAGCAGCTCTGGTACTAGTTACAGCTCAGAAGGATTTTCTGTATTATTTACTTAAAATTCTCTTAGATTTGAAAGTATGTATTTAAGCAAATGGTTAAAAATGTGGTGTGTAGAATGTGTTGATATTAGCAACACAACTCTGCTGCATTCGTGAACTTTAAAATAAGCATTGCCTTTTCTTGATCAAGAAATCAATACAATACTGAAGGCTAAATAGTTTGTACCCTATCAATGTACAGGGATGGAATTGTTTGAACGAAGCGATACAGTATGCAGAAGCAAGACCATTATTATTACATGAATGACAACACTTTGAAATAGAAAATTTGTACTCAAGATTAAGTCAGATCACTGAAGAAATAATTTGATGTTTCTGGATACTGTTATAAATTTTGTTTGTAAATGAATCCAAGGTGGAAGGGAAGCTACAAAGCTGCATCATTGACTCTTTTGTTTGGTATAGCCAGGTATTGTTCTGGCTTGTCATTTTAGAATTCTTTTTTTTTTTTTTTTCTTTATGAAGTCTCTAATAAAATTTCTTGCACTTCAGGATACTCTGCTGCTTTTTACTCGAAAGATCTTGATACTGTTTTCCTGTTGAATTTCTTATCCACCAGATTTTCTCTGAGATATTAATGAAACAGATTCATTCTTCCTCATCAAAATGTGTGTTGCGAGGTCATACATTATCTAAATATGAAAATCTACATCCTTCTCTCTTGCTTCAGGATGAATTTTCCAGATTTAGTATTACATGACTGGCTGCAATATTTATTTTTTTTTTCAGAACAATGTTAGAATTTAGCAACAACTTAAAAATCATGCTTACATGGCAGAATTTGTTCTAACAAGTTCTTCCTGTGTCTTTCTGGCTTCTGTAGAATGGCAAGGAATGCAAATGAAGAAGGTGGTGGGGATGATACTAGTTTTAATTTCAGCTGGAAAATGTTCACAAGCTGGGACTACCTGATTGGCAATCCTGAGACAGCAGATAATAAGTTTGCCTCTATCACAACAAGCTTTAAGGTAAGATAGACTTTACCAAGGGGAGGTAGTCTGATTTGTCTTTCACGGCAGTGTGAATCAGATGGAACTAAGGTCAGGTATTACCTGTGCCTGAGGCCTAGAAGTTTAAACTAGAACTGGAAGCTCTGTACCATTCTGAGCGTGCGTCTTTCTGCCTGTTGTCTTAATATTTTCCTTTTGATTGTGGCAGAAAAAAACAAAAATGGCATTTTTTGTGTCCTCTGTGACTGCAGTGATAGTTTTACAAAAACTACTGATTCAAATATAAGAATACTTCTCATCTCAGAGATTCTCGTCTCAGAGATTCTCATCTCTGATAGCTTCGTTTCTATGGTGATTTTCTGAAAAACATTTTTTTAAATGATGATGATATTTTGCCAACCTCACATTATCATCTTTCCTTGCTACACTGAGGAGATATCATAAGATAAAACAGTAGGATCATCTGTAAAGGGCTGTTTCTCATGTCAGAAGAACCTACCTCAGATTTTGAGTGTATTCTTGCTTTTCAGTAGGGGAAAAAAGGTTACTTTCCTTGCATAATATAAAGTTTTTATTTTCAAATTTACTATGAAATATAACCCAGTTTGTAAGGTAATACAAGACGTTCTTAGTCTTCTTTGCAATTTATAGCGTACATTGATGTCAAGAGTCATTGTGCCAAGAGAAGAACAACGAAGGGGATACATTCTATCTATTGAGTGTTAAAGAATATGTTTCTACACGGGGGTCAGCATGGGAGGAGCAGCTGGAAGACCAAGCACTAGCTGCATTATTCAATCCCATACAACACTTTTCCTTTCTGTGGTGGTGATAGAGCCAATATACCACCTCACCCTGCCCACCTTCCCATCTGCAGGTGTGAAAGATAACTACACTCAAAGTCAGTAGAAAGAAAATGTCCCAGGAAAACAAATATTAAAGAAATACTGACTGAAAGCACTGAAACTGTGGGAGCTTTCCCTGCCTGTCTAGTAAGGTCAGTTGCTGGAAGATACTTGGAGAAGGAAACAAATCAGCTCAGACAGAGACTTGACTTTGAGAAATAAACTCATGAAGCTTTATTGTGATCTTTGCAAACAAGCAAGAAACTTCAGAGAGAAAGGGTGAAGTCTTGGTTGAGGGCATGAGTTTTGCTCAAGAGCTGCTGCAGTCTCCTTTCATTTATGTAACGAAGAGAAGTCATAAGCAAAGCAGAGCTGTGCAGAATAATTATTACAAAACAGAAATTCATCTTCCCCTCTGGGCAGCTGATCTCTATACCTGACTGAGAAGCTGTAACCAAACTCCCTTTTCACAAGGACACTTAAGAAAAAAAGCTTTTTCTGCTGGAAGGAGTAGGAACTGGAGGCTATAGTTACACCAGAGTCTTGATATTTATCAGTCCTGGTCAAGGGTAAACATGGGGCAAACATTTTATTCTGCAGGCTGAAGCTGTGCATTATTTGTCTTTTTTGGGATTCCTACCTCTAAACTGTCTTTTCATTCCTTCTGAATTGGTGACTTTCAGAATAAGTCTTATATCCTGCTCTGACAAGACATTCTAGTTTCATCCTGGCATGTGAGTTCAGGTGTAACAAGACTCTGTGGGGACACACTCATCAGAAGCAAAGCGAACTCTGGGGATCCAAAACACTAGGGCCTGTTAGGGTCCAAACCAGATTTTTTGATCGTCTCAAACTATGATGCCTAAGTGTGCACTTGCATCTTTGTAATTTATTTAACTGTCTTCTAACAACTGCGGAAGCAATGTGGGGTCTTGACCATTAAAGTACTCATAATATTCTTTTATTTCTAACATGCACAGGAAGCAATCGTGGAGGAGCAGGAGAGCCGAAAAGAGGAAAATATTCACTTGACTCGATTCCTGAGGGTTCTTGCTAACTTCTTAGCCCTATGCACCCTGGCTGGGAGTGGCTACCTCATCTTTTTTGTTGTCAGAAGATCCCAGAAATTTGCCCTGGAAGGTCTGGAGAACTACGGGTGGTGGGAAAGAAATGAAGTTCGTGCTAGCACATTTCTGAAATAGATGTGGTTTGAAACTCTGTTCCTCTACTCTGCGTGTTGCCTTTTTTTCCTGATCATTTAAACACCACACAGTGTGGGTGGTAAAAGTCTGACAAAAGAATTGTTCTTGTCTCTCTGATTCCTGCTTCATTAAAAAGATTATTCCTTGGCTGGTTCTTTCAAATGTTCCTTTGTATTGTTTTCATTTGAGGCCTTCACCTTTCCTTCTCTGTGTTCATAAGATTGTTTTCCAGCCACTCTATGGACTCACAAGATCTCTTCAAGGAGCGCACT